ATTTGTTTTGATGAAGTTTTGTTCTTTGAGCTGAATGGTTTAGTCGTGTTTTTGTTTTCTTGTATGACATTTTATTCTCTATAATATACAATATTCTTTGTATTAAATTAACATCAACTATGCACAGAATGATATGTAGCATGTAATTTGTTTTAACTGTATGTATTTTTAATATATGTGATTCCATCCTAATTATTAATCAAAATGGGTGTACGAATCAGTATATAAATGAGTGTATTCTCGACCACTGTCGTTGTGTTTTGAGTTTAATAAATCTTTATTTGTACCAGTTTTTGTGTTCTTACTTTCGTATCGCAGGAATCGCACTGGTTCATCCTTTTACAAGTATAACTACTAAGAGATTCTGATATCGTAATTAGCGACGACCCGATGTAATAAGTAGCATTCAATCAGCAGTCTTATCGATAATAAATAAATTAATTAATATAATTGTAATATCTCAATGAGTAGAAAAATTAAATTTTCTGACGTTTTATGACTCAGTGTAAGCCACTTCTTCAGAGAATAAAATGTGTTAATTTATTTATAACAATCTACTCAATGCCCGATTTATTCGAAATTATCAAATCAAACCATGGTAATGATACTTATTTAAAGGAAATAACTTGGAAATAAAACCACCAAAAATATATTCTTACCACTAAATCCTTTATTTTAGTTTATTGCTCAGTAAGAATATTTTAAAACTATTAGTTAGCACTTATGATCAATCATGTTTCCTATTCCCTTAGATACAATTCTGATGAAAAGTTTCTAAATTTATTACATTTTAGTATACTGGATATGTATCTACCAGCGGAAATCAAGACGGTGATTTTATCCTATTTAAATCCTATCAGCTTAATAACCTACACTACAGTATTGGTAATCACAATAAGTCTTCAGCGTAGTACCTTTTGCTTCATGCGCTAAACACGTTATCCACTGCTCTACTTAGTTCGAATACACACTAACTCGTTCCACGAGTATGAATGTATTAATATCCATTGAACGAGTTACTGATAACCTAGGTTCAAGGCCCCAGTAGATAATGAAAAGCGGAATGTACTAATCATACAAAAACTTTTGACAATGTTAAAATGAAGTAATCTGTTCAGAATGCACATATGGGAATAAAGACTCATCAATTGGGGTTCTGAATATCAACAAGGAGAAAATATAACCCCTTACCAATTTCATTATATCTTATATGCGTGAATTGATCAAACCAGTAAAATAAATCAACTTTGTATTACATATGTACCGTACTTATGCCATATATCTTGTGTTTACAAATGTTCTTGTTACAAATAAAACTCAACAAGACCCTCCAAGGAAGTATGTATTTTTGCCGTGTCTCATCACTACATTCTTATAACCTGCTACCAAAATATTATTGTGGGAATCTGTTAGGATGGATAAGTAACGATGGAGACCATTTAAATGTAGTAACAGTCAATGTTTTTGAGTCTCATTATTGGAATGGACGTTAGGATGCATGCACATCTGAATAACGAAACATAAAGAGGATGACATACGATTTTCGAATTTACCGTTAACTACGATACAAAAATATAGTGAAAGTTGTACCTGGAAGCATTACAAAGGCGCCCACTCAGAGTGTACAGAGACTAGTCTAATGCAGTACTGAATATCAATAAAACAAACCCTTAAAAATAGTTAACAAACATTTATTTATTTGGTATAACTATAAAAGCTAAGTGGTTGGCAGCACCAATTATTAGCTACTTGCTTTGGTTGTATGGTGTTTGCTCCATAATTCTTTATAATCATTGATTCAACCATGAAAGTACATCATTAGGGTGCAGGCAATACAGGAAAAAACAGTTATTCACTATGATAACTGATTTCAACTGGTTTCCTAGATAATATCATTATCACCTGATCAATACTGTTCTTACTTTATAAAATCAGCTTGATTTTATGTGAAAGTTACTGTGTTTAGTAGTCGGTCACGGTTTTTCCACATGTAAAGTAATCATTGCATCATCAATAATTTATTAATGAATTACTAATAATCTTTCTCATGTCATTTTAATAAGATTGAATTATTAGGAAAAAGTTAGATTTGACATTTTAATTAAAATGAGTAATGAATGTGTAAATACAGTTGTCTACTGCAGCATTTATGTATCATTTATCATCATATATTACATCGTCTTTGATGTAAATATAGAACAAAAAAGAAGGATAAACTATAAAAAAAAACACTTCAGAGATAACTTACTGATTGGTTTTGTAGTACATTTCCATTACAGTTACATAATTAAAGTGAACTTCTAGTTGAAAGAATTTGTAACAGGTAACAGAAACTAGTCATGTTATCATATAAATAGTGACATGAAATTAGATTCAAAGTTATTCATAATATTTTTGATGAAAATCATAGTTGTCATATATCATCAACAAGTGAATTTGAATAATTAACATTTACGAACTCTACTTCAATGTATGATATTGTTATAACTGAATAACTGATTTTGATTTATTATTGTTGTCATTAAAAATAATCATATATTATACTGAATTCGGTGGACGTTGCAGTTGCACCAAGTCCTGTCAGGGGTGAATGTAATGCATGTGACATTTGTTTAGACAAATAACTAAATCGACAAGTAAAGTTTAAGGCTTAAATCGAATGATTCTCTTCTTTATTCTCAAAAGAATTATATGAAATGAAGTGTAAGGATTGACTTATTATTCAGAAAAATAGTAGAGATCTAAACTTATTCATATAAATTTAGGATTACAGTAAACTGTTGACTTAACAAAATGTTTTCAGCAAACCAACTATTTACGCAACGTAATGGGACATAGTGATAGAGTGTGAATGCTAACAGATGTATATACTGAAAACGTGTTTATACATAACTTAAGTTTACTGAATTTTGGAGGTTCACAGGCTTCAAAGCAAATGACAATGAAATGATGCAAAGCGTTAAGTTGTTTTCTTGAATCGACCTGTTTTTATTGTCCAGTGTATAGTTTTATCACACTTATTCTAAAATCTAGAGTTAGTTCATTGGCAAGTACCGACCAGTGTGATTTCCGTCTAGTTTTTAATTGGTCCGAATATATGATTGACGACGTTCCAGACTATGAAGATAGATAACACAGGTTCTAATCTTAAAGGAATCATTAGCTGCCTCTAAATGCAGTGCATGCCTTACCGAAGAATGTTAACTAAAACGAAAACGAAGTCAAGTACGGTTGCCGTTCATCTACCTCTAACCAACTAACGTCTCATAAAAAAATACTGTTATGACAACATTCGACTTATTTATTTATTACCATACACGTTTTTTCAAGAGTTACTTGCAAAATTCTTTTTAAAAAGCATGTTGCTTAGATAACAATTCTGGATGGTTGCTGACAGTCAGCTGAAAGAATAATCTTATTTACGTGTATAAGAATCAGAAGCAAACAAATAAAATATATCGTCCTTGGTATATTTGATTTGCGGTTATCAGTGGATACTAGGATGTCCGTTTCGACTTATTCGAAACTTCTGATGTAATTGTATCCGCGTTCCACTGATGGATTATCCGCTTAAATAATAGGTTCAATTAGTTCGGGTATGCTGAATAGTAAGAAAAGTGTATTTTGGACTCTAAATCTAACCATATACCAAATATAATAAGATGATGCTATATTAGGGGGAACCAGTACAAGATTTTAATACAGAAAGAGAGACTGATCAGTTGTAATACTGAATATCAACAAACTACTATAACTGAATTGTTTTATTGTATCGCATTATATAAGCATGAAATAATTCACAAAACGTCTAAAATGAAATTTAAGTTTCAAAAAAGTGTTTTTTTATGCAGGTAAAAAATGCTCTAAAACAGTGAACAACCTTTTTTTTCAAAAAAGTCATCCATTTGACATTAGGAATCATCTATCAAATGTATTGTATTTTATTTATTTAGTTTAACACATAGATATTGGTACAAGGAGGCACCAAATACATGTGTTCCACACAAATCTCACTCGATATGTGTGTGGGCTGGGATACTGCCCGGGTACCCGAACCGAAGCAGGTGGTTTTCTTAGGGGGCCACACCCCGAGCCTTCGACCTGAAGGTCTGATCCACGAGGTAGTGGAGCATCGTAAGCAGACGCAGTCCCATGGAAGCCGGTGACCAACGATTGGTTTATACGCTATTTGTTCCGGCAGGATACTGGAGCCCATGTGCACCATTGGTTTGTGATCCGGTTAAAGCGCCGGACATTCGCTTTTCGTCCTCTCATTTTCGTAAACAACACCCCCGCCACGAGAAGGTAGTGAGTAGGACTTCCCTGGCAGAGGCTATATACGCGTGGCCATGTGAGGGCATTTCGAGAGGTAGAGCTGACTATCCTCACTCTCGGCCGTACCAGGGTATTTGGGGGCATTGCATTTTATTATCTATCATTCACAGGATTGAACTAACAGAAATTATTCTATGATAATAAGTTAAATATTCTATCAAGAAACATTGTTTTCATTAATTGTATTTCCTAAGAGGAAATTCTTGCAAAACTCTCACCTATTTCATCGTTAATATAATAAATACAATAGTTATCTTACAATAATTGGTGTATGGGGGGTATGGGTATGTTTATCATTCTATAAAATAATTTCTTATCAATTCATAGTATTCAATAGTCCTTTTCGGTATTGTTTATTTGCTCCTCGTTCTTCTTCTATCATTATTATTATTATCATTATTACTATCCTTACAAACGTTTTTATCGACATTTTTAACCAATCAAAAAAGAAGAAAACTACACATCAATTTTGTCAACTCTCAATTATTTTTTAGAAATCTAATTTATAAATTTAGTGAGATTTCATGTATAATTATCTAATGTGTATACTATCTATCATTCAATTGTTCTTAGTCTAATTAATGTCATATGTGTTTATCTTAGTTGAATAAACGAAAAACGAAAAAAAAATTTTTTTTTGAAAGTGAAAAAAAAAATTTAATCAAATGTTTCACAATAAAAATAATAGTAACCAAATGGTTATTAAATTTATATTGATTCTTTGTTTATCACCATCATCACTTATATCATTATTGTCTATGTTTGTTTTAAATTCATCTGAAGCATATTATTTACCAGTGAAATATAATTTTGATCATGATTTAATTGATTATTTAACAAATGTGAGTGAATTAAAATATTATCCACGTCAAACAAGATCATGTAAGTTCATGTTTAGAGAAATAATGTTTCTTCTTTTTGTTTTGTTTTTTATTTATAAAAAATACATATGAAAAGTAATTTATACCAAAATATTCATCAAGATTAGAATAAATAGTTTGACAGAAATAGGGCGCCAAGTCTTTATACACTGAAGAAGTCTAGACAAGTGAGCTGGATGATATGTTGGAATTATACTAAATTTCAATCGATGAGATTATTTCAAATATAATTTTCACATATAATGACTTATCCATGAAAAGGTTTAATTTGTTTTTCTTTAATGTATTATTTGTTATTAATATGGTATGTAATTCGTTTCATGAAATTTTTCGTTTCATTACAGTATTAATAATAAATGCAGTGAAAATTGGATGAGAATCTACTGAAATAAATACTTTTTAGTTAGTTACCTAAATCTTTTGCATGAAGATTAGTATAATTGTTAACTGAAAACTATAGATTACTTGTTTGTTCACGGAGAAAAATATCTGTAATGAGTTTTTCTACATAAATAAGCAGAGAACCGTTATCTATGCGATTATTGTCAAAATCTAATAACTATATAATAATAAACTTATTATAATTTCAAGTATTATCATCTCTGGTAATTAAAATCAAACTAAAAAGTTTTTCTTGATTTTAAAAATGAAAATGTCATTTATCTGGACACAAATCACTTAGATATGATTCATTTCAAAGATAGGTCAGTTGCTAAATATTGGTAAATTAAAGGAATCATAAAAAAATTTTTTGTTTTTATGTTGTGGGTCTTGATGAAATTCAAGAAAACCAAACAACGTTTTAAAAAGGTTGGAGACTTTATTGTTTATGAGATATTTTAGTATGATCTAATGTTAACACTACCATTAAATACTAATTACATTGAATACTGTCAAATATATTGAATAAAGTTGACGTTTTGGATTTTTGTTAGATATTTGCATTTGTAATAAATAAAAATAGGATTATCAGAAACTATAAACAATATATGCATGACAGTCAGCTTCCATGCAGCGTTATCCTAAATGACATTAGTTAATCTTATGTGGCAGTTATACTGAATGAAAATTGAAAATACATATCATCTTACTATATATATTTCTTTGAGCGTATCTATCTCTACTAATATATTGTAAGGTGTGATAATGAAACTAACTAACGTTACATCACAATTAATTCGTGGAGGTCATAAATTTTTCCAAGTAGTTGGGAGGAAGTCGTGACAGTATGTTCAATGTTTGTACCATTAAGATGCGAGCAATACCTATAAAGCTGGTAACTTCTCAAAATATTAAAATTCACTACTCAGCTTCATTTAGCGCAAATTCCATGTAAATGTTTTCTTCTTAATTGCGTTTAGAAATCAATCATCAAAGCTGAGTTACCCCCTGACTTTTACTATTGAAGGCTAGTATACTATAACTTGCATAATACAGAATCGTAGTCAGACGTTGATTTTTTTTCTTAAACACCTTTTTCTTTTACTTTTGAACAAACTATTTCCAGATAACCTGATTAAAAAATCTCTAAAGATAATATGAAACAAAATAAGGCATTTTATTTGTTAAAAAGAAAACGATTTTTCATAAACTCTGGGAAAACTCAGAATGGTGTGAAACTGGTATAAATTGGTAAAACGCTTGTATAATATTCAAAAAAGACAAAAAACAAAGGTCAAAATAGACAAATAGGAAGATGAGGAAAACAAAGATAGTAAGGAAGAAAGGATGTGAATTACACTACTCTAGATAATGAGTCAACGTTACCAGGGTTTGAATAGTTCAATTACACTTCATTTTTGAACGTATTGTGTTTGTCATCTCTTTTGTGTTACTTTATTTCTTTTTTGCAGACATTTTGATTCAATCACCCCATATCTTTTCCGGTATTATTGGTTTATTATCCAGAGTGATGTAATTTATAGCGTGCTTACTGTTTATTTTTGCTTGACAGTTTGTCTAGTTGACTTAAATTTTATTTATATGTAAATGCCTTAACAAGTATAGGTTTCTTCAGACTGTTCGAAATGTATTGCGCTAATATACTGAATGGTTCTAATAAACTTCATTTTCTCATTGTATTATCTTATATAGTATTTTTACGCCATCCAATCAAATATTCTCATTCTTATATACACTTCGTTTTCGTGTTTAATGGTTTGTTTTATTTATATTAAATGATTCATATTATTTGAAATATTTTCGATGTATACTGAACATCTAGCCTTACGTATAAACGTATGAATAACGACAAACTACCCTTCACAACTCATGTCACGGTGAACATCCATAAGTTTTAGCAGGATAACGCTATAAACAATGAAACTAAAATCATCGCTTTTCACAATTTACTTTGGTATTTTTTTAATTTCTTGGTTGATTTCAAAGTGCATTTTACGGGACAGTTTCATTTTCTTCTGTTGAAATTAAACTGTGAAATAAGATTATTTACTGTAAAATCGAAATCGAGGAGAAAAATGTTTATAATATGTTAAAAGACTAAATTACTTAAAGATTTGTGTTAGAAAAATAACTTCAGGCATCTAGAACTAAATAATACTCAACCGAAAGTAATACATGATTATTATGGGGGTTTGTGGGGATCACTGAATGTTGTTAAGATCATCAATTAATATGAGTTAGACGACCGTTGAAAATAATCATTGTGGCTGATAACAGTGTTAATGAGAAAAGTAACAATAGTAGACAAAGTTCTGAATTTACCCTGAACAAATCGTGGTTTTCTTGGAATGCTTGTGTAAATTTTGACGACTATTTCAATTACAAACTGACGTCAATAGGAGAAACAATAGGAATCGAGAGAGTCTGGATTGATATCTGGTTCTAATTTAAAACCCAGTACTAGCCTGCACTGCTGCAAACGGTTTGTAAATATCCTCTTTTTATTTTAAGAAGATACGTTTAAGTAAAAACTCTTAGTAAAACTATGGTCTGACAAGTAATCATACGTTATCAAGAAAATATTTTTTCATATTATAGAAAACAGTTACTTTTATTGAGTTCGTGAAACGAACAATGTTAGATCACCATTTTAAACCTAGAAGCACTAGAAGCCCTTTTCATTCTGGTATGCATCTTCTCGGAAGTACTCGATGACCATCTCCACGCGTGACTCGAACTCGGAACCTACGGGCTCACACGCAAACGCTTACTTTCTAGATTACTGAGCCAACATCCAACTGCGTTATTGTATAACTCCAACTAATCCACGACATTGTACGACTATATTCCATTGACTTTAAAGGGTTACTGCTTCACACTAGACATGGTTGAACTCCACTGGTCACGGCTTTTTTGTAGAATTCCGACAGTCCATCTAGTGCTTCCAGGTTTTCAATGGCAGTCTAACATTGATCGGATAATGATCTTCACAACCTAGTACTGATAAATAATTATTTCATATGACTTCTAGAATTACTTGTTTCAAATAAAATAACAGATTTTTTGATAAACATAAATATTTTGTGTGTTTGTGATGAATAAATTTGTAGTTGAGGTCATTTGTTGTGGATTTCTATGATTTTATTCATCTGGTTAATATACGTCATCAGTAATACAATTCATGATGCTACCTCTTCAAACCACTTAAAGCAGGTTGCATACTGTTTCTCTTTCTCACATACACGTACAAACAAAAAGATTTTTATCAGTATGGGTAATAATCATGTGCTTACCAGTAACTAGCTTTAAAATAAATTTCCTGGTGTCCTAGTGAGAAGCTGTGATCACTGGAGTCTATTCCGTGTCGGGTATGAGACAGTTATCCACCTCAGACAATGAATGAAGGGTCGCTCAAGATCATGAACCGATTGTAGCTAGACATTAATACTGTTGGATGCTGACTCAGTGGTCTAGGTGTTAAGCATTAGCGCGCGAGATCGTGGATGTTTGCTGCTGAGTCGAAACAACCATCTGGTGATTACAGGTTTTCAGTGGTAGTCTGGCTTAGATCGACTCGTAAATTCAACTATAAGAAATATTTTTATTAATTTGAAATGCGAATACTCAATTTTTATTTTGAATTTAAAATTTTACAGAGGGTGATGTGTAGAAAATTGCTCAGCATAGAGCATTTTCGTTGTTTTCATGCTTTACTCCGTTTTTGCAGTGTACTATCTCAAAAATCTTACACATTACTTAGGAATGAGAAACATGGATTTAAATTCTTACAAAGCCGTTGAACTTATGAACAATGCTTTACAATGCGTGAATCAGTGGATGATTAAAACTGAGATCAATGTAACTAATGATGGAAAGAATGCAATGATAGTATAAAACATTGCAATGTTTTTTTACCGGTCCTATCAACTGTAGCTCAGTTGCTGCTTTTAATCTAATAACATGATAATAATTTGACGTGTTGTCATTCCTCTGTGATTGATACAATGTCGGATATATCATCAATGCCGTTCCTCTTGGCTTCATATATAATTTTTAAATATTTCGGTTTATATTCATTATTGTTTAGTACAAGACAAAGAATAGTAATTAATTTTCGCATATAAACACAAAAATAGGGAAGTCATCAAAATAACCACAGGAAAAACAAGCTACCCTATGCCCCTAATCTGGGACAAACTAGTTATTTCAGATATACTTCAACTGAAAACTTGTCAACAACATACGATAGAAAAACGTATTTGAAAAAACCAAATACTTTATTCATGATAAACATATTATCCTAATTTATCTTATAAAGATATACTATTATACAGTAAGAATGATAACAATGTTTGAGTGTTTTTTCTATTGAGTGAATGTTTATCTACATATACGGTTCAGATACTATTTTATCTTCTGGTATGAACACATTCCATGAATTTTGGCCAACATACCTGTATATATTACATATATTGAAAACTGTTGCAACCTTTCTAATTGTTTGACAAATTATCTTTAAAAAAGAACTACATATATCATTGTAAAGTTTATTTCTTACTATTATTTACTTGATGAAAGTAAGGTAAACTACCGGTATTT